CCCATAGATGTTGGTGCTCAGGTGGCCCATAGATGTTGGTGCTCAGGTGGCCCATAGATGTTGGTGCTCAGATGGCCCATAGATGTTGGTGCTCAGATGGCCCATAGATGTTGGTGCTCAGATGGCCCAGTTGCTAGATGTTGGTGCTCAGGTGGCCCAGTTGCTAGATGTTGGTGCTCGGATGGCCCATAGATGTTGGCGCTCAGATGGCCCAGTTGTTAGATGTTGGCGCTCTGATGGCCCAGTTGCTAGATGTTGGTGCTCAGGTGGCCCATAGATGTTGGTGCTCAGATGGCCGAGTTGCTAGATGTTGGTGCTCAGATGGCCCAGTTGCTAGATGTTGGTGCTAAGGTGGCCCAGTTGCTAGATGTTGGTGCTCGGATGGCCCATAGATGTTGGCGCTCAGATGGCCCAGTTGTTAGATGTTGGCGCTCTGATGGCCCAGTTGCTAGATGTTGGTGCTCAGGTGGCCCATAGATGTTGGTGCTCAGATGGCCCAGTTGTTAGATGTTGGTGCTCAGATGGCCCAAAGATGTTGGTGCTCAGGTGGCCCATAGATGTTGGTGCTCAGATGGCCCATAGATGTTGGTGCTCAGGTGGCCGATAGATGTTGGTGCTCAGGTGGCCCATAGATGTTGGTGCTCAGATGGCCCATAGATGTTGGTGCTCAGATGGCCCATAGATGTTGGTGCTCAGATGGCCCAGTTGCTAGATGTTGGTGCTCAGGTGGCCCAGTTGCTAGATGTTGGTGCTCGGATGGCCCATAGATGTTGGCGCTCAGATGGCCCAGTTGTTAGATGTTGGCGCTCTGATGGCCCAGTTGCTAGATGTTGGTGCTCAGGTGGCCCATAGATGTTGGTGCTCAGATGGCCGAGTTGCTAGATGTTGGTGCTCAGATGGCCCAGTTGCTAGATGTTGGTGCTAAGGTGGCCCAGTTGCTAGATGTTGGTGCTCGGATGGCCCATAGATGTTGGCGCTCAGATGGCCCAGTTGTTAGATGTTGGCGCTCTGATGGCCCAGTTGCTAGATGTTGGTGCTCAGGTGGCCCATAGATGTTGGTGCTCAGATGGCCCAGTTGTTAGATGTTGGTGCTCAGATGGCCCAAAGATGTTGGTGCTCAGGTGGCCCATAGATGTTGGTGCTCAGATGGCCCATAGATGTTGGTGCTCAGGTGGCCCATAGATGTTGGTGCTCAGATGGCCCATAGATGTTGGCGCTCAGATGGCCCAGTTGTTAGATGTTGGTGCTCACGTGGCCCATAGATGTTGGCGCTTAGATGGCCCAGTTGTTAGATGTTGGTGCTCAGGTGGCCCATAGATGTTGGCGCTCAGATGGCCCAGTTGTTAGATGTTGGTGCTCAGGTGGCCCATAGATGTTGGTGCTCAGATGGCCCATAGATGTTGGCGCTCAGATGGCCCAGTTGTTAGATGTTGGTGCTTAGATGGCCCAGTTGTTAGATGTTGGTGCTCAGGTGGCCCATAGATGTTGGTGCTCAGATGGCACAGTTGTTAGATGTTGGTGCTCAGATGGCCCAAAGATGTTGGTGCTCAGGTGGCCCATAGATGTTGGTGCTCAAATGGCCCATAGATGTTGGTGCTCAGGTGGCCCATAGATGTTAGTGCTCAGATGGCCCATAGATGTTGGCGCTCAGATGGCCCAGTTGTTAGATGTTGGTGCTCACGTGGCCCATAGATGTTGGCGCTTAGATGGCCCAGTTGTTAGATGTTGGTGCTCAGGTGGCCCATAGATGTTGGTGCTCAGATGGCCCAGTTGTTAGATGTTGGTGCTCAGATGGCCCATAGATGTTGGTGCTCAGATGGCCCATAGATGTTGGCGCTCAGATGGCCCAGTTGTTAGATGTTGGTGCTCAGGTGGCCCATAGATGTTGGTGCTCAGATGGCCCATAGATGTTGGCGCTCAGATGGCCCAGTTGTTAGATGTTGGTGCTCACGTGGCCCATAGATGTTGGCGCTCAGATGGCCCAGTTGTTAGATGTTGGTGCTCAGGTGGCCCATAGATGTTGGTGGTCAGATGGCCCATAGATGTTATCGCTCAGATGGCCAAGTTGTTAGATGTTGGTGCTCAGGTGGCCCATAGATGTTGGCGCTCAGATGGCCCAATTGTTAGATGTTGGTGCTCAGATGGCCCAGTTGTTAGATGTTGGCGCTCAGATGGCCCAGTTGGTAGATGTTGGTGCTCAGGTGGCCCATAGATGTTGGCGCTCAGATGGCCAAGTTGTTAGATGTTGGTGCTCAGGTGGCCCATAGATGTTGGTGCTCAGATGGCCCATAGATGTTGGCGCTCAGATGGTCCAGTTGGTAGATGTTGGTGCTCAGATGGCCCATAGATGTTGGTGCTCAGATGGCCCAGTTGCTAGATGTTGGTGCTCAGGTGGCCCAGTTGTTAGATATTGGCGCTCAGATGGCCCAGTTGCTAGATGTTGGTGCTCAGGTGGCCCATAGATGTTGGTGCTCAGATGGCCCATAGATGTTGGCGCTCAGATGGCCCATAGATGTTGGTGCTCAGATGGCCCATAGATGTTGGTGCTCAGATGGCCCATTCGATAGATATTGTTACACGAAAGTCTTGCCGGTGTTCAGAGAAGTCAATGGCTCTAAGGTGTGACTGGGAGCAGTGTTTCTTTCAGACATCTTTCCGGGACACGTCCGACTTCCCCACCCTCCGCATAAAATAGTAAAAGATTTAGAAAATACTAGACTACCCGTCATCCCTTGGATAACTGTGGGTGACGGGGGTCATCCATAAAAAACATTAAGTCTGTGACTCATCGTCACAAAAACCCAGACCTCACATTCAAAAAGACGTCACACCTCAGACGTTTTAGTCTTTTAAAAACACCGATTCCGGCTAAGCATGGGTATGACCACACTATCTCTTCATATGCTGACGTCACAAGTGAACTTTATTCGTACCCAACTCTGCTTAACCTGCCCAGTGTTCCGCCAAGTCTCAGACAACATGTTTTATCGTTAAAAAAATATTTCGGCCGAGCATGTCTGTGACCACACTATCTACTATTTACTATAAATAAAGTCATTATTCTGCTCTTTTATCATTAATGTGGTTAATCAACCAATGAATATATCAATAAATTAACGTCTTTAAATTAGTTTGTGATTAACAGTGTGTCTAGAAAAGAACATTGTTCTCTACCTAAATACTATTTTACAGCTCTATACATAATGCAGATTCTCTCCTGTAACAATACAGACAAACAAAAAAACAACAACAAAAAAAACGAATTATCAAACATGTAAACTTGAGTTTTAGTAGTATACTAGACTACCCGTTATCTAGTTAGATAACTGTGGGTTTCGGGGGTCATCCATAAATGACATCACGTCTGTCACTTATCATCACAAAATAACCAGACCCCATATTCAAAATGACGTTTGATCTTTTAAAAACACAGATTTCGGCTGAGCATGGGTCTGACCACACTATCCCGTTATATACTGACGTCACAGGTGACCTACTCAACTCCACTTCACCTGCCCAGTGTCCCGCTAAGTCTCAGACAACATGTTTTATCGTTTAAAAAAACTATTCAGACCGAGCATGTATCTAACCACACTATCCCTTCATATGCATTGGACAAAGAAACAGGTGAACTCTACTTCGCCTGCACTGTGTCCCGCGATGTCCCTATAGGCAACTTTATCATTCACGTTTTAAAAAAAAAATGAAGAAAAAAAATTTAACTTTGTCGTGATGTGTCACGAACCGGTACGGCCCCCATGGTAGCCATTACACTACCATCTTAGCTATATGGGCACCAATTAACCAATGTAGAATTAGTCCTATAATGTACAGCAAAGTAAGAAACCAGTTACGCCAATAGGTCCTATTATTTTAAATTTAATTAGGGGCCTATTTCCCAAATTAGCCAATTCCATAGCTAAGCAAACAAAGATTTATATAAAATAATTAAGGCCTAAAATACTTTAGTATATAGATTCTAATTCTAGATTCTATATGTAGAATTTACGTTAAGTCTAGATCTAGATGTAGAATTTATGGTTGAGTCTTGATTCTATTTTTTGCCGTAACTCTAGATCTAGATCTAGAACCTAGATAGATAGATCCCATGCATTCTCGAATTAGATGATCATTGAAGCTAAACAAAGATTTATATAAAATAATTAAGGCCTGAAATAGATTTTAGATCTAGATTCTAGATGTAGAATTTACATTAAGTCCAGATCTAGAATTTACGTTAAGTCTAGTGACCTAGATCTAGATTCATAACTTTTTCTTCCTTCGACAGCTGATCTGTAGATCTAGAGAAATGTATTGTATAGATCTACAAAAATAAAAAGAACTGTTTAAAAAGTGATAATAGTGTTGAAACCTAATAAAAATAGCAAAAGGGCGCTTCGTTAAAGCTAAAGCCGACAGAAAATTAGCTTTATAACGCTTTAAAGTTCTAAATTGGCAACACATTCTTGTATGAAAGCCGCCATTAATGTTGTAAAAAGTAAATAAATAATGTGACGTCACTATTCACTATAAGTAAAGTCATTGTTCTGAACTTTTAAAATTAATGTGGTTAATCTACCAATGAACAAATCAATAAATTAATTAACGTCTTTAAATAAATTTGTGATTAACAGTCTGTCTAAAAACAAAAATCATTCTCTATCTAATTACTATGTTACAGCTCTACACATAGTGCAGATTTTCTCCTGTAGCCAAAAGGACAAACAAAAAAACTAATAAATATTCAAACATATAAACAAACTTGAGTTTTAGTAGTATATAGATAGATTATATGTCAGTGTCCGCTCTCCCGGAAGGTCAAGTACACCACCTCCCTTCCCCTTCCCCCCCCCCCCTCCCTCCCCTCATCGAGAGAGTCTGACAAGGAGCGAGATAAATGACTGAAATAAAGGGAGGGTAAGATTGAGAAGATTGTAGAGGGCAGCAAGAGAGAACCTGAGGACCTGTCGCTATCTAACGAGCCCCTCTCTTGCTTGCAGGGGACCTGTCAGCCTCCAGACTAGTCACAAAGCTTCAAGATCTGACTGTCACGCACTCTCAAGATCATCTGGATGTCAACAGGCTGTCTCAAGATCATCTGGATGTCAGCAGGCTGTCTCAAGATCATCTGGATGTCAGCAGGCTGTCTCAAGAACATCTGGATGTCAACAGGCTGTCTCAAGAACATCTGGATGTCAACAGGCTGTCTCAAGAACATCTGGATGTCAACAGGCTGTCTCAAGAACATCTGGATGTCAACAGGCTGTCTCAAGAACATCTGGATGTCAACTCCATGGAGAGTTTCCTATCCAGCTATGACGAGTCCGATGTTACTTTAGTCCCTGCAGGCAAAGAGGGCGCCTATCAGTGCACGGTCTCCAAAAGTCTGGAACTCTCGACATCTTCGGACACCGGCTTCACGGAGCTGACCACAACCCTCCGCTCTGGCGGCACCCTCATGCCTCAGTCTGGCGGGCATCTCCCTCCTGCCTTGGGCAGAGTCTACTCACAGCTGATGGATGAGGGCTTCTCGGAGACAACACTGATGTCTAACGTGGACAAAACTATTGTCGGGGTATCAAACGTGGACAAAACTATTGTTGAGGTATCAAACGTGGACAAAACTATTGTTGAGGTATCAAACGTGGACAAAACTATTGTTGAGGTATCAAACGTGGACAAAACTATTGTTGAGGTATCAAACGTGGACAAAACTATTGTTGAGGTATCAAACGTGGACCAACTAGCTGTGTTGGAAAATTCCGCCTGGGAACAAGAAGCAGCAGACCTGAGGGCACGTGCTGAAACTCTGGAGCTGACGGCAGCCGAGGCTGACGACTGTGAGCACGCCGAGTGGCTGGCGCGGAGGGTCCAAGCAGAAGATTTGTATTGCATGTCCACTCATGGCCTGGGCCTTGAGCTGCCGCCAGATCACCCGTTTATTGGCAGTCAGGCGTATATGAGCCAAGGCCATCTAGTGGAGGAAACCCTAATGGTATCAGCAGACAGGTATGACGTCATCAGCACATGGGACGAGCTGGCTGATGCCCGAATGATTGCAAGACAGCTGGAGCAGGACTGGGGCAGCGGAGCAAATAGCTGGCAGTCTGGGGACTGTGGCACGGACGGGTGCCAGACTGAAGTGGAGGGCAGCCAGACATGGCTGGATGAGACCTGGTCCGTCCTTCAAGACTGCCAGTGGTCAGACTGCCACTGGTCAGACAGTGAGCTGAACATGACCTCACCACCAGAGCCGAGCAGACGCCCACCTCTGCCAGTGGACGAGCGCCTGGAAGCGCAGCTGTTGGAGAAAGTTTGGGGGGAGTCTTGTACGGGTCGCAGGTCTCCTCTCTACCGACAGCTGGCGAGCGCCTTGTGCAGATTTTAGGTGCGTGCCATATATTGGCGGAGCTGAATTTTAAGAGCAGAAAATAAAACCTCTACCATCTCTATACTATATGCGACTTACGCCTAGTTTTTCATAAGTCATATGCTTTTCAATTATCGTTAAAAGAAACATTTACTATGGTAACGTGAGTGAGCAAACTTGTTGCTATTTAAAGAACTTGTTGCTAAGGTAACGAAAGTTAGAGAACGGGTTGTTAGAGTAATCGAAAGTCTTTTTTTTTTCTTTTTGAGTTTCTTCGCATCTGCAACCGTTGGCATTCTTTTACATCATGGAAGTCTTCATCGTTATCATCAGATTACAAAATAAATACTTAATAAAAACACTTAATAATCCACCAATGATATATTATCAAATACATATGTTTTAGTCAATGTGTATCAACGTATAATAATCCACCAAACGTACATAGTCTCACATCAAGCCTACATAGAATACTTTTTAATACTTGCAACAGCTTGTCAATGGGAATTGTTTTTTTTTGTAGCAGATCATGTGAGTGATTTGTGTGTGTGTGTGTATGTGTTTAAGTGTAAGTGTATGTGCGTGCATTCGTGCGTGTACAAGCTACTGACGAATGTGTGTTTGTAATTTGTTGCACATACGGTCAATTCACACTGAACTGTAAACCCACGGTAAAATCTTACAGTTTCACACGCCTCACACCCCCCGCCCCCGGTCAAAAAATTAATATCCCCCACCCTGAAAGTTTTGGACGTCTCCGCCCCTCCCCCCTTGAGAACAAAGTCTGAAAGTATGTCTAGACAGACTGTTGGAGCTTATCTGTGGTGTGTGGGCAGATCTGAACAACCAGGTGTCATGTTTTTGTGTGGGCAGATCTGAACAACCAGGTCCCCCTGTGTGGGCAGATCTGAACAACCAGGTCCCATGTTTTTGTGTGGGCAGATCTGAACAACCAGGTCCCCCTGTGTGGGCAGATCTGAACAACCAGGTCCCATGTTTTTGTGTGGGCAGATCTGAACAACCAGGTCCGCCTGAGTGGGCAGATCTGAAAAACCAGGTCCCATGTTTTTGTGTGGGCAGATCTGAACAACCAGGTCCCCCTGTGTGGGCAGATCTGAACAACCAGGTCCCATGTTTTTGTGTGGGGAGATCTTAAAAACCAGGTCCCCCTGAGTGGGCAGATCTGAAAAACCAGGTCCCATGTTTTTGTGTGGGCAGATCTGAACAACCAGGTCCCATGTTTTTGTGTGGGCAGATCTGAACAACCAGGTCCCCCTGAGTGGGCAGATCTGAACAACCAGGTCCCCCTGAGTGGGCAGATCTGAACAACCAGGTCCCCCTGAGTGGGCAGATCTGAACAACCAGGTCCCCCTGAGTGGGCAGATCTGAACAACCAGGTCCCATGTTTTTGTGTGGGCAGATCTGAACAACCAGGTCCCCCTGAGTGGGCAGATCTGAACAACCAGGTCCCATGTTTTTGTGTGGGCAGATCTGAACAACCAGGTCCCCCTGTGTGGGCAGATCTGAACAACCAGGTCCCCCTGAGTGGGCAGATCTGAACAACCAGGTCCCATGTTTTTGTGTGGGCAGATCTGAACAACCAGGTCCCCCTGAGTGGGCAGATCTGAACAACCAGGTCCCATGTTTTTGTGTGGGCAGATCTGAACAACCAGGTCCCCCTGTGTGGGCAGATCTGAACAACCAAGTCCCATGTTTTTGTGTGGGCAGATCTGAACAACCAGGTCCCTCTGTTTGACGGCGGCTGTTGTCTGCTGATGTTCGTTAGGAACCAGAAGGATGAGGTGCCACGCATTCATTACTCGGATAGCAGTGACGTAAGTATCTGCTGCTCCGTACGAGAACTTGTAAAGTGATCACTGCTCATCTGTCCTCATCAAACTCTATCACGTGTCTTCCATCTGTAGGCCTCGTCCTTGTCTGCAGACGACCCAGAGGTGTCGACAGTCAGAGATGATTCTACATCAACTTTAGTGGTCAGCGCTGGACAGGTGTGAGCACAACTGTCATCCCTCTAGTATCACATACACATCTCACCCAATAACCCACCCAACCATCTACTGACCCACCACCCACCAACTGACCCACCAACCATCTACTGACCCACCAACCACCAACTGACCCACCAACCACCTACTGACAAACCCACCCACCCACTGACCCACCAACCACATACTAACCCACCCACCTACTGACCCACCCACCAACTGACCCACCCAGCTACTGACCCACCAACCACCAACTGACCCACCCAGCAACTGACCCACCAACCACATACTAACCCACCCACCTACTGACCCACCCACCAACTGACCCACCCAGCTACTGACCCACCAACCACCAACTGACCCACCAACCACCTACTGACCCACCCACCCAGCAACTGACCCACCCAGCAACTGACCCACCCAGCTACGGACCCACCAACCACCAACTGACCCACCAACCACCTACTGACCCACCCACCCAGCAACTGACCCACCCAGCAACTGACCCACCCAGCTATTGACCCACCAACCACCAACTGACCCACCAACCACCTACTGACCCAACCACCCACCAACTGACCCACCCACCAACTGACCCACCCACCCAGCAACTGACCCACCCACCCACCAACTGACCCACCCACCCACCAACTGACCCACCAACCACCAACTGACCCACCCACCCACCAACTGACCCACCCACCCACCAACTGACCCACCCACCTACTGACCCACCCACCTACTGACCCACCCACCAACTGACCCACCACCCACCAACTGACCCACCACCCACCTACTGACCCACCCACCCAGCAACTGACCCACCAACCACCTACTGACCCACCCAACAACTGACCCACCACCCACCAACTGACCCACCAACCACCTACTGACCCACCACCCACCAACTGACCCACCACCCACCTACTGACCCACCCACCTACTGAACCACCCACCCACCAACTGACCCACCCACCAACTGACCCACCAACCACCAACTGACCCACCCAGCAACTGACCCACCCAGCTACTGACCCACCCAGCAACTGACCCACCCACCAACTGACCCACCCACCCACCAACTGACCCACCAACCACCAACTGACCCACCCACCCACCAACTGACCCACCCACCCACCTACTGACCCACCCACCAACTGACCCACCCACCAACTGACCCACCCACCAACTGACCCACCCACCAACTGACCCACCAACCACCAACTGACCCACCCACCCACCAACTGACCCACCAACCACCAACTGACCCACCCACCCACCTACTGACCCACCCACCAACTGACCCACCCACCAACTGACCCACCAACCACCAACTGACCCACCCACCAACTGACCCACCCACCCACCAACTGACCCACCAACCCAGCAACTGACCCACCCAGCTACTGACACACCCAGCTACTGACACACCCAGCTACTGACACACCCAGCTACTGACCCACCCACCCACCTACTGACCCACCCACCAACTGACCCACCACCCACCTACTGACCCACCCACCCACCAACTGACCCACCAACCCAGCAACTGACCCACCCAGCTACTGACCCACCCAGCTACTGACCCACCCAGCTACTGACCCACCAACCTACTGACCCACCCACCTACTGACCCACCCACCAACTGACCCACCACCCACCTACTGACCCACCCACCCACCAACTGACCCACCAACCCAGCAACTGACCCACCCACCTACTGACCCACCCACCAACTGACCCACCCACCCACCAACTGACCCACCAACCCAGCAACTGACCCACCCAGCTACTGACACACCCAGCTACTGACACACCCAGCTACTGACCCACCCACCCACCTACTGACCCACCCAGCTACTGACACACCCAGCTACTGACCCACCCACCCACCTACTGACCCACCCAGCTACTGACACACCCAGCTACTGACCCACCCACCCACCTACTGACCCACCCAGCTACTGACACACCCACCAACTGACCCACCCACCCACCTACTGACCCACCCAGCTACTGACACACCCAGCTACTGACCCACCCACCCACCTACTGACCCACCCACCCACCAACTGACCCACCCACCCACCTACTGACCCACCCAGCTACTGACACACCCAGCTACTGACCCACCCACCCACCTACTGACCCACCCAGCTACTGACACACCCACCAACTGACCCACCCACCCACCAACTGACCCACCCAGCTACTGACCCACCCACCCACCTACTGACCCACCCACCCACCAACTGACCCACCCACCCACCAACTGACCCACCCAATACATCAATGCACCAGATGACGCCACACCAAACAGTGTCTGAGCCGGGAGACTCTGAGCAAGAGAAAGATTTACTTATTCGTGAGATCGATCTAGTCGGCACCAGGCTGACCTCACTCAAAGAAGACAATTTGGTGGAAGCGGTGAGTCATGACGTCACTTGGATTAGCTCTGTAATCTCTGTGTAGCTCTGTAATCTCTGTGTAGCTCTGTAATCTCTGTGTAGCTCTGTAATCTCTGTGTAGCTCTGTAATCTCTGTGTAGTGTCTTGACGAGAACTTATGATCTGACTTATCGTCAGACTGTTCTCTGCTTGCTCAATAAAGTGTCCAGTAAACGTGATGGCGTCTACTGTTGAAATACAGACAGCCAAGGAAATGAAATGACTTTTCTATTCCCTAGAGTGGGGTGCCTGTGATCGAGAAGAACATCAAGAACATCATCAGTGACCCACCCCCCACGTGGTCCATGCTGCAGGAAGACAACATCGCCATGACCCGTAACCCGGTCATCACTACACGTAGTAAGGTCAAGGTCAGTCTAATGGCGATTGGTCAATTATCCCCCAACTCCGATACCAAGGTGACTGTAGTACCTCCCCCCCCCCGCCCCACACTCCCCCCCCACCCCACTGCTAACACAACCCTACATCCCCAGACCAAGGTGACTGTGGTACCTCCCCCCACCCCCACCCAACTGCTTCTTCTTCTTCTTCGTTCTTAATTGTGAATATGGTGGAGGATTCAGACAACAAGTCCAACTTCGTGGACAAACCGGACTGTGGTCTCCAGTTTGTCAGGTGCCCCATATAATTTTTCCCTGAGTGGGGTGGGCTGGGGCCAGTGTCTGTCTCGTGCCTGGCTATACAAAGTACATTCCTGGAGTACGTGCTCCGTGTTTTCCGGGGCCTTGCCACAAGGGCACATTTCGCTACACCCAACCTTCAGTTTTCTGTGCATGTGTTGATTTAGTCTGTTGTGGCCTGTTCTAAGTCGAAAGATTATGTATTGTTGTTTTCGTGTTAAATTATAATAGCCGTTGTCTTTAATGTAGTGAGGGTGTGTGACAGACCACATTTGCGTTTGTTTTTTATTATTCTTTTTATTTCTTTTGGGTGTAGCGAAATTTCCGGTTGTGGTTTCTTTCCCCCAATTTTTGCCAGCTG